GCTTCTCCGTTACAGGTACAAGTGAATCTTCAGGCGAGCGTACCGCAGCCCACGTACGACAGCAACGGAGCAACTTCGCCCGTTGAAGATGACATCGATGCGGCCTTGACGGATCTACAGGTGACCCTGGAAGGCAGCAACATCAGCAACGGGCCCAGTGATATCACGCAGGTGCCCGAGCTCTGTGACGAGCTGCGTTTCTTTAAACCGAAACGTTTCACATTGAAGGCCTTCAAACGTTATTGGTTTACGTGTCGCGATCTCCAGCTCAGGCTCTACAAGAGCAGGGAGGAGACAGGCGGCTCGGAGTCGCCAGTCTACGTGATCAATTTGCGCGGCTGCGAGGTCACGCCAGATGTGCATTTGTCGCAAGGTCGCTACGGAATCAGACTGGAGGTACCCAGTGCTGAAGGCATGACTGAGATGTGGATAAGATGCGACAACGTAAGTGGATTAATTTGAGTTAACGTGGCGTATCGTTGCCAACATTATTGAATTAACCGTTCTTAAACGTACATTAATACTTGTCATATGTTGGCGTTTGGCCACACGTCAAATATTGTTAATACGTTGCGTCGAAAGCGAATGAGTTCTCACGAGTTTAAGCTTCAAAAAGTGAAAACTGTAAGGCTGTGTTCCAAAATTCACCGACAGTACTGAAAATCTATGTACATGTAATCTAGTAACGTAAACGATAGGATTTTCAGCGCTGATAGTGAATTTTGAAACACAATCTAAATATTAGAACTGATTCAACATATAGATATTCGCATTTGAGCTTGATTTCATTATCATTTTTTATCATTCCAGGAACAACAATACGCAAAATGGATGGCCGCGTGCAGATTAGCGGCTAAAGGCCGTACCCTCGCCGACGCGTCTTACGAGAGCGAGGTCAACAGTATCACAGCTTTTCTACAACTGCAGAGGCCCGCACCCGCGCCAGCCATCAATCCGAATGCTTTAGATATTGTACCGGAAGACTATGTCGCGCCTCGATTCGCAAAGAAATTCAAAGGAAAGGTAATAAATCATTCGCATTCAAATAATCTTCATGATTGAATAATCAAATAATGAACTAACATTATACTGATACTTATTTTCTTCACGTAGTTGGTTCAAAGGATCTTGGAAGCACACGCGAACGTTAAAGACCTGCCCCTTGTCGAAGCGAAGCTGAATTATATCAAAGCCTGGCAGTCCTTGCCGGAATATGGTATCTCGCTCTTCATCGTGCGATTTACTGGTAAGAGCAAAGATGAGCTACTAGGTATCGCCAATAACAGGTTAATGCGGATGGACCTTCACACTGGCGATCATTTAAAGACTTGGAGGTATAATACTATGAAGGTATGTATTCATTTACGTGTCCTCTCCTATAGATTTTTATTCATGAATATTCCTTTAATTTAGCAAAAATGTAATGTTGAAAATCGAAAAGTGACAATAAATAATTTTTGCACAGAAAAGTGAAATTGACTAAAATCTGTAATTTTAAAAACTTAGTAAAGAATATATTTTTGAATACAAGATGAAAGTGAACGATCTCTTTAACAGGCGTGGAATGTTAACTGGGAAGTAAAGCACATGATGGTACAATTCGAAGAAGAGAATATCATTTTTGAATGCCAATCGGCAGACTGCAAAGTTGTCCATGAATTCATAGGAGGCTATATCTTTCTATCGATGCGTTCGAAGGAGGCGAATCAAACATTGAACGAAGACTTGTTCCACAAATTGACTGGTGGATGGGCTTAATCCAGTACTGCAATGAGTGCATAAAATCGAAACGGGTTCTAACATATTCTGAGAAGCGATGATGAAATGCGCTCTGAGCATTACCTACATACGTCGCGCTCGTTATGTGTCTGTTCAAGGATCGACGTTTTTGCATGCTAGTACATTTGTAAAAATACTTAAATCTGGTCGTATTTATCACATTTTAACACTAATATGCTGTAAATAAAATATTTTGTCCCTTCTACGCACAAGCGGAAGAATTTTAGCGATTAGTTATTTTTATTCGACAGGAGGCTACTTCAGAATGTTTACCAATGTGTTTACCTTATTTACAAGGTATACTAACAATGTTGACAACCGTTATAATCATGGCCTCTTTTCCAGGAAAAAATAATCCGTTTTCTATATTTACAATGATTTTATAAATAGATATTTGTGGAACTATTTTACAAAGATATACTTTTATACGAAACTTTTTCTACTTAGAGAAATCTATCGCCTTGAATAAATATCGAATTTAGGAACAAATACATCAAGTCTGCACAAATAAAAAAATCTACAAAACATATCGTGGTATTAGGCAACACTTTGTAACAAAGAAAAAAAAATCGATTTTCATCCTCTCTTTAATAAAATTAAGGAAGCATAAAATCACCATAGAATAAAACCGCCCGTGGTTTCGAATGGTTCATATACGGCCGTAAATCTTGAAAATTCAATTTCAGCGATTTCTTTTATGTCTAGAGACTTATTTCTTGTAATCCTCCCTCTCATAATGCGTGTCAGTGTCCTCTTCAGTATCCCAAGGTGCTATACTAACCGAGCTCGACTTTACAGCGCAAGAGATCGAATCGTGTAAATTATTTGTTATTTTAATGTAAATTAGATGTAGAAGAAGAAATATATCACCTGTATCTTTATATATTATATTCATAGGAGATATCCCGTTATATGTGTATGTAACCAAAAAAAAGTATAGTTTTGTATATTACTAGACAGTAACTGTACAATAAAACTTATTAATGTATTTGACAAATTTTTCAATTTCTATTCTGTATCTATCGTGCCATGAAATTGACAATATACGATAATCAGACAATTTGTAGAAAAATATAGAAATTAATTATTGAATAACATTTAACATTAATCGATTAAATTTTCCTCGTATTCGATACGTGGTTTATATCGAATTGTTGTGATCTTTATTTAACAACAATACGTTAACATCCGTGTAAGTTTCATTGGTCGTGCAAATAGAAAATTAAAAAATATATTAGTAAAGACAAGTGTAAATATCTTCAAAAACAATAGTTTGAAATTGTTAGTCACTATAATCTCATATTTTGATTGTTAATGTATCGATTGATTCTTTTTGCGAATCTTCTTATCCCACGGTGATAGGCTGTGGATCTTTCCTTGAGGTATTTACCATCTTCGAGGACGGTTGAGTCTGATTTTCCGAATTTTTTAATGCGGGTTGTGCCCTCGTTACGACAGGTACGTTTCCGGTTCCCGACCCGCCCAAGTTACCGCCTCCACACATCTAATTGCATAGGCGACAAATCGTTACGCTTCAAAATAATTATTACGTGGAATGTTGCAATTATTCCTCGGATTTATTGTAAATTCCATGAATAATTGTTCGTTTAAAAGTAAACTAATCTTTGTAATTTTATACGAAAATCCTTTGTTTAAAGAAACTTTGATTGTCTTGCAAATATCGTTCATCAAGATTCCTGGTTTCTTACTGAATCGGATTATGACAAATGTAATGTAAATTTATCTTTACACATCAAGATAAATTAGTTTTTTTTACAGATTGTAACTATTACATTTTTCAGATATATTGAGAATTTTTCTAATTGGATTAATAGATAACTGTAATAAATTTTAAGTTGCAATTTCATCAAAGATTTGTAAATTAAATATTCATTTTTATTATCGAAAAACAAATAAAAAAGGAGACCCCTCTATACATTTTATATCAATTTTCTAATATAAAAACTTATTAAAGAAATTGAAGATTTGTATACAAAAAAAAATACATAATCCACTGTAGAGACTAAGAACCTTGAATATAACGCTACTATTATATTGTTTATCGTAACCGGAGTATGACTCGGCGGCGCTGAATGGACGAGTCTTCCGGCAAGGAAGCCTGTTCTATCCTTCCTTGCTCTCACCCACTCGTGGCCCAGCACCCTCTCGAGCGTAAGTCTGAGAGTGATGTCCGGTTCGAGGATCTGCCGGACGATGCTCTTCGCCAGCGTGGACACGGTGTCGCGGACGCGGGACCTGAACACCCAATTGCGCGATATCTGGTCTTTGAGGAGCTTCGGTAGATTCTCATCGTCGAACGGCATCGTTCCGTTCAACATGATGAAGAGGATAATACCGAGCGACCAAACGTCCGCCAATTTCGGATTGTACGGAGTACCGGCGACGACTTCCGGCGCGGCATAGGCCGCCGAACCGCAGTATGTCTGGCTGAGAACCCGCTTGCCCTCGTGGTCCATGCAGAACCTGGCAAAACCAAAGTCCGCCAGTTTCACATTGAACTTCCGCGAGAGCAATATGTTCTCGCACTTGAGATCCCGGTGGGCGATATTCTTGCTGTGCAGGTAGTGCAAGCCGGACGCCATCTGACGAAACCACAATCGCGACTGTTGTTCCGGCACTACGCCGTTACTTTTCACGAAATCCAGAAGATCGCCATTATCGGCATAGCGCATGAAGATGAAGACGCGCGGACCGCGTTGCAGGATGCTGTGCACCTGTGCTCGACGGATGACGCGATTAAGATTGCTGATGCGGTAATGGCAGAATTGGGTAAAATATAATCAAATGAACTACAATTACTAATCGTATTAAAAACTGATCCTTTATCGCCCACATAACTTTATTACACTAAAGTTCCAAGAATCTCCCGTGCTTGAAGTTATTTTCAATACCGTTAAGTTTTATTTTATTCATGTATTGTCAAATAATGATGTAAACTATGTTTGCTCGTTTGAGAGAGGATTGCTGATTGAAGATTCTTGACCTTAGTCAGTTTTGAAAGAAAAGAAAAAAAAGTATGTAACGTGGATTTCCATCAGAATTGTTCGTTTCTTATCAATCATGAGATGAGCGAGGATTTTTCTGGTTATTCTTACTTGAATGATATGCGGATTTTCTATCTTTGTTAAAATCTCAAGCTCCCGGGGAAAAAACTTGTCTAAGAAATCGTCTGGCGCTTTCTCCTTATCAAAGATCTTACAAGCCAGACGCATCTTTTTCGAGCTCGCTCCATCGATATATTCTGCCAGATGAACGGTTGCGTAAGAGCCCTGAAAGAGGAGATGTCTAATTTAAAAAAATGAATATTCCCACCTAGTAGTTTTATACAATATAATGATACAAAGAATCTTTTAACTTGATCCATCTCGTGGAACCTGTAAATAAATATAAATTAGAAAATAATCAAGAGGTTGATTAAATGTTTGGTTGAAATAAATCACTTATCAAAAGAGAGACAAATAAAAAGGGGATCCTTCCTATATATTTTGCGTTATATAAATTGAAGGAAGCTCTAGCTACAGTGAGAATGGGTGAAGACGCAGGAAGAAGACATAAAGTATTAAAAGGAATGAAAAACAAATGGAAACAATGAACAACCTGTCCGATCTTCTTGCCTATAAGATAGCCCCGCTGCTCAAGAGCGTTCACTTCCGAGTTTCGAGGGCTGAGTCGCTTGGCCATGCCAATGATCCTTCATCGACCCCTCATCACTGACCCTTCCCCTTCCGAGGACGGGTAGTTAGTTGAGTTTTCGATCGTCTTCTCACCTCGACAAGTGGGAAATGCTTACAGGATTCACTGAGAATTTCTCTATCTTGCTCCGTTCGCGTTCACGCGCGTTATTTCTCGTTCGGCGATGGCAAGTTTCGTTGATGCGATTTCAGCGGTACACGAAGCATCACCGAGTATCACAATGGAATGATGTCTCACTACTACGTCGACGCTTACGGCGACAATGCGGATCTGTTCGATCATTTGAAGCGATTGCGAGCACTAGAATTTTGGACCAGCTTGTGCCTGGTGCAACGGAAGGAAGGTAAGGATCTGCGTCTCATTCGAGCGCAGCCATTATATTTGGAAGTGAAAAACAATCAACGCGTGAGATCGATCATGCGTGCGGATCTCTGGTAACTTCTCACCGCGCAGTCATGAATCGCGAATCAATTTTTGGACGATGTTTGCTAGCTACATTCTTTACCACAGCACATTTTATCCAAGAGATATCCTGGAAACGTTCTTAAGACATAGGGATATCATCTGGATGTTTTTAGGATGTTCCTTAGCGATCGATGCTATATGAATTCGTACAAAAAACACACTATTGCTATTAATTTCGTCTAAGTGCGTGATTTACTTTATTACTTTGTAACTACATTCTTGAAGAATATTGATATAAGCCTATCATTAATCATAATTTCGTTCATTATGTGATTTTATATTCATAAATAAAAAAAAAAGTGAGGTGTCACAAAAAGAATAAAAGTTAATAAATAAAAGTTAAATTAAATAGACAATGTACTGGAGTGGATAACAAAAATTAAATGAAAATAAACATGAGAATGAATTTATATTATTAAATACATGCACACAATATTATTAAACAAAAGTTTGAATATGCACAATAAAACATTTTTAATCTCGCAGATTGAAGAAAAATCAATAAATCAGTAAAATTCCATATTACTTACATATAAAAAATTACAGAAAAATTTATTAAACATTATACATAAACCTTACTTTTATGTAGATGCATTAATAACTACGTCCGAAAAGTGTATAGAACTTCGGCTTATTTTTGCAACTATGGTGAATACATTTTAGTTCATTGAGTGGTCTTATCATTTCTGGCTGATCAAATGGTATACACAGACTCTTGGCGCCCATTAATGATCCACTTTCTGCGCTTTCACTGTAATTAATCATAAAATAAAAAATTTAAATTGAGAGAATAAAAAAGGAAGGATTGCTGTTCAATATAATTCAAGTATGTTATTTATATGTAGTAACTTTTCTCAAAACTAAATTAAATTAAGTTCATATCTTTTTTTAATAAAATTAATTTACGTTTAGATTTTCAAATTAGTAATATAAAGAAAGAATAATTTATACAAAGTTCATTCAAACTAATGTAAATTTAAAATATGTAAAATATATAATTTTTTTTTTATAAAAATTTGTTTTTTAAATCAATATTTTAATATTTTCCAAATGTACCTTTTTTCTTAAATAATGATAAGCAACATATAGAAGCATATAAAATTTTTTTTATATACAAAAGAAGGAATTTTACCTTCTATCTTCCTTACTATCCTCCTTAATCTTATCTTCACATGCCGGATCTCCACAAAAAGGTGCCAATAACAAATTCTTTTTATTAAGCTCGGGGTTAAAATCACCCCACTTTTCTACTTTTTTAATATGCTCGTTTAACTTACTTCTCGCTCTATAAACAAACAGATGAAATATTATTACTCATATACATTATGAATGCATAATGAATGCTAAGCGTTTTGTTACAATACCTCGATAATAATTGCTTTTGTACATCATTCAATATTGAAGTTAATGGAGTAATTATGTTATCGTTGCATATTTCGATAGTTGTTCGCTGAAAGTTATCTCTTCGTACAACTGTTACTTGATTTTTCAACAAATCCTTTGGACCCACTTCAAGCCTTATTGGCACGCCTTTTAGCTCCCAGTGGTTGAATTTCCATCCAGGTGTTCGATTAAGTCTACAATCACTTTTCACTCTAAATTTACCCTCTTGACCCAAATGACGAACTAGCCAATCACATTTCTTTAGAATATTCTCTTTTGTGTGTTCATCCATGTTCACGGCTATACCGCAGGGAATCACAATGATTTGTATAGGTGCTACATTTGGAGGCAATACTAAACCTCGATCATCTCCGTGTACCTAAATAAATATTTGTTTATTTGATTATTTACAAAAGAATATATATAAAATATAATATATATCATATATTGTCTATACACATAACGATGAATAATTGTATTGACCATTATCATGACTCCAATCGTTCGTGTGGTTAAACCCCATGAATTTTGATAGACAAACGTCTTTTCTTCTCGGCCCGCGATACCTTCTACTTGAATATTAAACATCTTCGAAAAGTTTTGTCCTAAATAATGGCTTGTCGCTCCCTGTATTGCGCGACCATTAATCGGAATAAACGCTTCGACGGTAGTGGTATATTCGCCACCCGCGAATTTCTCCTTTTCAGTCTTGCGACCTTTAATGACGGGTACCGCTAACAAATCCTCGTACACCCTAGCATATAAGTCTAAAATCATTAATACTTCCGCCTCTGCTTCTGCCTTAGTAGCAAACGCGGTATGGCCCTCCTGCCATAAAAATTCTCTGGTGCGTAAGAAAGGTTTAGGATCTTTAAATTCCCATCTCTGTAAACATAAATAAAATAATTGAAATGAAGCAGAATTAAAACAAGGAAAAAATACCAATCACGATAAATAGCATTTACCACAACATTATTCCATTGATTGAGCCTAAGTGGTAACTCAGTGTCTGACCTCAGCCATTTGGCATAAGCTGGATACATAATAGTCTCCGAAGTGGGTCGTATAGCTATAGGTTCCGCCAAATCAGTTTCACCATATTTCGTTACCCACGCGACTTCCGGCGCAAAGTCTGCTATGTGCGCCTTTTCTTTTTCTAATACGCTACGAGTAACGAAGATCGGGAAGTAACATTCTTGAACACCAGTGTCCGTTATCTCTTTGTCGATGAACTCTTTTATTATCTTCCAAATCGAGAAACTCCACGGACGAAGAATATAACATCCTGACACGTCATAATATTCAATCATTCCGCTTTTCGTAATAACTTGCGAATACCAATCAGTAAAGTTCTCCTCTTTCTTCGCTTCCAATCCTAATCTAGTGCCTGTTTTGTTTGAATCAGAGTCCTTATTGTTCGCGTTTTTTGCAACTTCTTTCTCCAGCGTCTTTTCAAGCTTAGAAATATTTTGCTTTTCTTTTTTTGATACCGCATCCGAATTCACGGGCTTCCAATCTTGACCAGTCAGACTTTTATAGTCACTTTTCAAACTTAATAGAATCTTCACTTCTTGATCAATAATGCTCTTTTCAGCTTTTGAACTTTTTAGATTTCGTACTTTGTCACCCTGCTTCTTTATTTCTTCGGATATCTTCTCTGCTTCTGAAATTTCTTGGTTTTCTGACTTTAACTTGCTTTCAGTAACTTTAGTATCAACTGGTTTCCAATCTTGACCAGTCGTATTTTTATAATCACTTTTCAAGCTTAAGAGAACCTTCACTTCTTGATCAATAATGCTCTTGTCAGCTTTCGAGCTTTTTAGATTTCGTACTTTGTCACCCTGCTTCTTTATTTCTTCGGATATCTTCTCTGCTTCTGAAATGTCTTGGTTTCCTGGCTTTATTTTGCTTTCAGTACTAGCAACTTTAGTATCAGCTGGTTTCCAATCCTGACCAGTCGCATTTTTATAATCACTTTTCAAACTTAAGAGAACCTTCACTTCTTGATCAATAATGCTCTTTTCAGCTTTTGAACTTTTTATATTTCGTACTTTGTCACCCTGCTTCTTTATTTCTTCGGATATCTTCTCTGCTTCTGAAATTTCTTCGTTTCCTGGCTTTATCTTGCTTTCAGTACTAGCAACTTTAGTATCAGTTGGTTTCCAATCCTGACCAGTCGCATTTTTATAGTCACTTTTCAAGCTTAAGAGAACCTTCACTTCTTGATCAATAATGCTCTTGCCAGCTTTCGAGCTTTTTAAATTTCTTACTTTGTCGCCTTGCTTCTTTATTTCTTCGGATATTTTCTCCGCTTCTGAAATGTCTTGGTTTTCTGGCTTTATCTTGCTTTCAGTACTAACAACTTTAGTATCAGTTGATTTCCAATCCTGACCAGTCGTATTTTTATAGTCACTTTTCAAGCTTAAGAGAACTTTCACTTCTTGATCAATAATGCTCTTGCCAGCCTTCGAGCTTTTTAAATTTCTTACTTTGTCGCCTTGCTTCTTTATTTCTTCGGATATTTTCTCCGCTTCTGAAATGTCTTGGTTTTCTGGCTTTATCTTGCTTTCAATACTAGCAACTTTAATATCAGCTGGTTTCCAATCCTGACCGATCGCATTTTTATAGTCACTTTTCAAGCTTAAAAGAACTTTCACTTCTTGATCAATAATGCTCTTGTCAGCTTTCGAGCTTTTTAAATTTCGTACTTTGTCGCCTTGCTTCTTTATTTCCTCGGATATTTTCTCCGCTTCCGAAATTTCTTGATTTCCTGACTTTATTTTGCTTTCAGTACTAGCAACTTTAGTGTCAGCCAATTTCCAATCCTTACCACTCACAATTTTATAGTCACTTTTTAATGTCAAGAGAACCTTTACTTCTTTCTCAATAATGCTCTTGTCGGCTTCTGAATTTTTTAGATCTCGTACTTCGTCACTCTGCTTTTTTATTTTTTCGAATAGTAGCTTTGTTCTTGTTTTAAGATAAGCTCCAAAATCTTCTGTTGGTCCAGTTTGTCCATATGTCCAACATCTTTTGTTAAACATACTTTCCTTCGCTATTCTAAGATATTCATATATGCTTTTTTGAATATCCACCATATACAAAATATATTCTTTTGTATGACCTTGTTTCTTATATCTTTCAAATATTTCTTCTATTTCTGGATCTACCTTTTGATCTGAGTATACATTGCTTTCAGTACCATTAGATTCAGAAAGCTCAGGTTTCCAATCCTGACCATTCATTATCTTATAATTTTTTTTCAAGTCTGAGAGTATTTTCTCTTCTTGAACGATTTTGCTCTTATCAGCTTTTAAATTCTTTAAAAACTGCACTTTATCGAATTGTGCCTTTATGGCTACAGACATGCATACCAATGGATCGTCGGTGTCTGGATCTTTAAATATCAAATTGTAAACCGACAATAGCAATAACATTCTATAGAAATGCATATCCATTAATCTCTGAAAATAATCTTCTATATCAGTATATACTTCGTCTACATATTCTTCGTTTTTCTCTTTTAAGTATAGTGGATACATCATTGAATCTGTTGAAATTCTAAGCGTTCCATTAACTGCATCATAAGGTATTATTAGTCCTAATTCTTTCATAAGACTTTGAATCTTGTCCTTCCAAGAAGGATCTAATATTATGGTTTTATCGTATTTAACTATTGCTTCTTCTATTTTTTCTAAAGGATTTCTATATATTATATCAAGAGTTTTCATATGTTGCACTTTACTTTCCTAAAAATATTTTTTTTTTTTACTTTTGAAAATGATAAATAATACACTTTGTATAGTTGCAAAATAATATCAACTTTACTTTTTGTCATTTTCATATGATAAATTATTAATATTGGCATTATAAATCGTACATTTATTATTTATAAATAATAAGATAATAATTATAGAAAATAAGGTATATTGATTTTACCTGTTGATTATTAGATACCACAGGTGTCATATAAGGTGTTGTCGTATGCCCATCAGGTATATGGAACAATACAATAGGTGGTTCCCGTGTCGAATAAGAACTAGATTCATACGGAATATCACAAATAAAAAATCCCTTCCTCTGAAGCTGAATTATCTCTCCCTTTTTCACGCGTTTCAATTCTACTTCACCCAGCATTCGAATTTCTTTCTAAAATAAGAATTTTTGTATGCAATTAGTAATATATAACATAATTATCAGTTTATTTGTTTGCAAGTAAAAAAATTCTTTACTCTTGTATTTTTAGCAACAAAGTTTTTAAAATCGTCGTCCTTGCCCAAAACCGGTACGCTCATAATGTGATTAAAATAAACAGCGTAACATTTTATTGGATTTGACTTTTCTGCATTTGAATCAGATGTAGGTAATGATTCAGCCAGCCACGTGATCTTCAAAGTATTTTTATAATTTTTGTCCTCTAGATTCAATCGTGCTTGCACATCTATTATATTGCCATTATATTTATTTATCTTTTGTATCATTATGTTACCCCAATTAATAAAGGTCGCATTCTGTCCTTCAATTAATCTTTCAGCATCTTCCTTTTCTATCAAAATTTTCGAGCCTACGCGCACTTGTTTGGTACCTTTAGATGAATCTTTAGGATGATTTTGCACAATCAACCACTCTTCTTTAGCATCTATTACATTAACCGATATTAGTTCATTATAATTCAGTGCAGTATACCTAAAATTACAGATATTTTAAAAAATATCTATGTTACCATTCTATTATCAAATTCTTAATTACATTTTCATTACCTAATCGCAACTGGATCAATGACTTTTTTATTAAAAGCCCATATTTTGTCCCATTCCATAAAGACTACAGATTTCGAACTACCTTGTGCGATGATGAATTGTTTCAGACCCTCGACTGTCATTCCTCGTCTTAGAATGCCTCTCACTGTCGGAAAGCGTGGATCGTCCCAGCCATCGACTAGACCTTCATTTACAAACCAAGTTAATTTTCGTTTAGATAAAACCGTATAAGTCATGTTTAACCGTGAATATTCCCAAATGTACGGGCGACGCAGTCCCAAAGCTTCGATTATCCAATAAAATTGAGCATCTCTATCGTGATACTCTGTTGTTCGTAGAGTGTGAGTAACATTCTCGATAACATCAACAATTGGACAGGCAAAATCATACGTAGGATATACCCTAATACAAATAGATTAAAAACAATCTATATATTATGTGTGTGTGTGTATATATATATATTCTATAAAATTGTATTTTTAAACTACTAATATTAATATTTATATTGTATAGCAACATTATTAATCAAATTTATATTAGTATAAAATAATTTGTTATAAAAATAACTAATGTAATTAATGTTTATTTTAACATTAACAAAGTAATCAAATGTTAAGATGTTTTATAATTATAATTGAGTATTTCAAGTTATTTTAATTAATAGTACATCATGCTAAAATATTAAGAAATATAAATACTTGTATTTGTTTCCAGTACGTGGATGAGATTCTAATTTGCAACGGTAAATTGTAGGATCGCGCATACATCCGTTTGTTGACTGATAATCAATCTTTGCTCTGACACAATATTCTTGGCCCATCTTGGTACCACGTTTCATTTCTTCCCACAATTTCAGATTTTCGGAAGAGGCTATAAAGGCGGAATGCTATTATTAGAATCGAGATAGTTATAAAATTAATGCTTTTTTCTGAAAAATTATTATTTACAGAGATCTCGATATTCAGATTTCAATCTTTTATCCCGTTGTTCTTTCATAAGATTCGCCGGGGTACAATCCAGGTATGCCTTTCCATCCTTAATTAGTGTAGTACAATAATCTTCTAATATGTGAAAGTAATCCGAAGTATGCGTAAAACGGTCAGGTTTAATTTGCAGTAATTTTAAATCTTCCAATATAGCTTCCTCAAATTCTATAGTCTCCTTCGCTGGATTTGTATCATCAAATCTCATGATAAGTTGTCCTTGAAAAGTCTCAGCATAATACTGATTTAAAAGAGCTGCTTTGGCATGGCCAATGTGCAGGTAGCCACTTGCTTCTGGTGGAAATCTTACTACTACCTACAGAAGTAAATAACAAAAACATTTTTTAAAGTTATAAAAGTTTAAAAATCAAACTATTTTATTGTACTGTACAACTTTACTTTGCCCATTTCTGCTCCAGGAAGATCAATAAATTTGCCCTCTTGTTTCCTTGTTTTCGTCTGCTTGGCATCAGATTTTTCTTTTTGTGAACTTACATCTTTTGGTTTCGAAGTTGAAGAACAATTTTTTGCAATCATAGATATTGCATTATTGAAAACAGGAAGCGATTCCATATGCTTGTACCATCTAGTAATGTTACAATAATCTTTTGCATATGATTTTATATATTCGTGACGATGCAAAGCGCAAAACACATGAATATCAGCCAATGTTAATCTTTTGGTGACCAGCCATGTCCGTGCTATTAACACATCATTCAAATAGTTTAAAAGCTCCTTGTTTATTTGTTTATTTTGCAATACTAGGGCACAGGATATCCAGTGATCGATTTCTGTCCTTTCATAAGGACAGGCACCGCCTAATAATAATAAAATTATATAATAATAAAGAATATAGGTGAATTAAGGTGAATTACATTCATAGCAAGATATATCTTAGTTGGTTTTAACGTATTTAACAAAAAAACAGCTATATTTAATATCAATCTCTAAATTTTTTATACTTTAATAATAATAAAAATATTTACAGAGTATAAAAATATATACCATAAAGTAGGGGATTTATCGTCCTTGCCAGATACCGAGTAATTTCATTATTATATTGTCCCAATAATTTGTAATCTTTATCAAACAAGTAAACATCCGACTCGTTATTCCAAATTTTGTTCCATGATATCATTATATCTTTCTTTTCAGAATTAATTATCTCAGCTACTACCAGCACGTCTGTAGAAGATTTCAAATTCAGATAAATGATATAAACAAAATCATATTTTTATATATTGTCTTTAATATCGACATTATGTAATGTTAATGTTTAAATGGAACTTAATATCTACAATTACAACAATAACTACTCCATCTAATAGAAAAGATAGATACTAAAAAAATTGTTAAATTCATAATTTAAAACAATAATTATTTATTGTCATAATTAACATTACATTGCTTTATTTCGTTAAATTACATCATTTTATATAAAATTAAATTTGATGTTACACATTTTATGCTAAATTAAACTTTATGATAAATCTGCCAAAATATCGATATCTAGACAGCTATTTAGAAGTTTTAAATATTGACGGTTAAAACAAATTAACGTTACGATGGAAGTCTCCATTTAACTAGTTTTACAGCAACATCTATTCAACATTTATTTTCGATATTTCAAGAGATATACATAAGTTCAAAAAAACAAGTTAGATCAATACCAATTCAATACGTTGGTTGCAAACTGATGAAATTATTGAAAGAGTTTCATTTGTTTCTTAGTAACTTAGGTATTTTTTACATCCACACTTAACATAACAATGTGACACGCTAAATTGCATAGTATTATCGTCGGAAGTATCTTTATTCATTGTTTATGACAAAACATCTGGGATAATTGTCCTGAATATCCGACTTGACGTTGTATGATGCAACAAGCATAAGGAAGTATCGACAAACAGAGCAATACAGAAAATAAAATAAAATAAATATAAACTATAAAAATAAAAAGAAAAACAATTAATTAAAAAAAAAAGGAGCAAACTTAAACACTCGCTCCAATAATTGTCTTGCGTTCCGAAGTAGAACGTTTTAGAAACTAAAAATAAAAGTGACGTAAAATTTGAACTGGACTGATCGTGTGAATCTTACCTAATACGTGATTAACTGGATTGACGGCGATCTTAAACGCCGCTGTCTCCTCACCCATACTAAAATGAAAAGAAACAGACTCAACATCAGCGTGAACCGATTAAGGTTAGCAATCACATCATACCACGCGACCCACGTGAATCGTATGGCACACCAAAAAACTTAAGCAGTAAAACATAAGTAGTAAGCGAATTGACCAATCACGGTAGAATTTCGTAAGGCCACAACGTAAGCAGTAGTCCAATATGTTAATTTTCTTACTTATGTATTTTCCCATCCAAGAGAAATTGTCCATCTCGTCTGACAGAACACATAATCTCAGCAGTATCTACGACAAGACTAAACACTAAAGCCGGAAGTCTCAAGCAAAAAAGCCGAAACTGCCGGAAGGAAGACTAGTAAAGGTTGCGCATGCGCAGCAATCACGTATTTAGTATGCCGCGTTGTTTGCACTTTTGCAACAAGCATCTTCGCTTTCTTTCTCTTCGACGCGCGAATATATATTTATCTCATTTGAAGTGCAAACATTTTTGGAGATTTCAAGCAACGCGAACAGATCTGATTACCTCGCGTTTGTTGTCCAGGGTTTCCTCTTCGAATTTGAACTTTGTATATATATCTAGAACATATATAAGATACTCGTATATATATATATATAAAATATATATATATA